ATAGGGGACTTTATATCTCAGTGTCTCCATGGCACCTGGAGCAGTTTCCGGTACAAGGCAAATGCTGCGAATGAATGAATAAGCTTTTGCTTCCCTTCAAGTACTAGGAGTTGAGGTGACACATTTAAGTAGATACCTGTGGCACATTTGGATGATAGTGATATCTAATACTCAGTTTGAGGTGTAGCTGTGTGTGCGGTAAGGTAACCTCTCTCCGTTACCGTCAAGCCTTCGGTACAAGCTGTCTGCACCCAACATCTTGTGGTTGTGGTGCCTCCGAAGGAAGGAAGGAGCCCAGGAGGACGCTCGCTGCCGGCGGGAGGCGAGAGCCCGCAGCTGTGCTGTGGGCGTCCCAAAGAGCAATGTTCTTCCGGCAAATTCCAGGGAAATGTGGAGAGAACACTGGCCTTCCCACACACTGGGAGGCTGAGGTTCCTGTCGTCCTGTTGAGCAGGATACTCACTCGGCCATCTCTATTTCCGAGGCTGGTTGGTTTCTACCTGAATCCCAAAGGTCCCTGGTTACCATCAATACTTACATTATTTCAGAACAAGGTTCATTTCTGAGTCTGAGGACCTAACACAGGGGGTTTTGATTCTGTTTTCCAAGGACCATCTCATTTGGCCTCTGGAGGACCCTCTTTCCAAAACCCTGGGAAAGAAAGAAACAAAAAACAGAGAGTAAAAATATATCTGCAACATCCAAACTTAACCAAACGCCTTTGGAAAATGTAACCTAACTTGTGGCGACACACTTTCTTAGTTAAGGGCCAGACTTAACCCCTGAAGGAAATCTTTTTTATTTTATTTATTTTTTTGGAAGTAAAATATTTTTGTGGGTTTTTTAAATTTTATTTTTCAATTACAGTTGGCAGTCAATGTTATTTTGGGTTAGTTTTAGCTGTGCAACGCAGTGGTTAGGCCGTAACCAGGCTTTGAGGGGCTGGGCTTCTCTCTTCAATCCCCTCTTTCAATGAGCTCTTGTCTCCGATGAGTCATTCCCCAAAGAAGCTCTTTTCCTGTCAAGCTGTGGTAAGTCAAAAACCTACTTCAGAGAACACAAAGTCACCAGTCTGGGGGGCTTAAAAAAAAACCCATGGTTTTATTTGCCTAAAAAGAAAGAAAACCTCAAACTACTAAACCAGAAGTTACCTCTTTTTTCTTTCTTTTTTTTTTTTTTTCACGTGTTCTACTTTGCATCTAGCATTTTATAAAGGCACAATAGCAGGTTCCATTTTTAACAATTACATTCAAAAGTTTTGGATTTTTCGACACTCCTTTTATTTTGCTGCGGTCAAGGCAAATAAGTCGGATCCTAAAGAAACAGTTAACCTCTCTTCCCTAGAAGCACAGGGAGCTACAAGCGCGTCTTCAGGAAATTTCAAAGGCCTGTTAGTAGAGCTCAGGCTTAGAGGGATGAAAGTGGCGATGTCAGTACAACTAGCTGACGGCACGTAACACTGGGTCATCTCAGCGTGTGCTACCCCTTCCTCTTTGCTCTGCTACCATGATCTAGAAGGGGCCATAGACAAAAAAAATAATAATAAAAAGCAAAGGTCTAGCAAACTTCTTGATGATTGGAGTCAAAAGAGGAGGGGAAGGATGAGGAAGACTTGACCCTGAAGATGGGGAAACAGACCAGCAGCCCCCTAGGATGATGGCCTCCCTGACTTTTCCCATGAGGCTCCTGGCTGGGAACCTGACAGGAGTTTTAAGGAGAGCAGGTGACATACCCCAGCCGGGACCTTTCACTTCGTTCCTTGATTTATTCAACAACTATTTACTGAGCTCCTTCTACATGACAGTATTGGCACTAGTGGCCTGGCAGTTCTTGTCACAGTCTGCTGGCTGCCTCCTGGTAGTGCCGGGGACCACATAGATCTATCTTGGTTTCCAGGGCTATGGATTAGGATGCATAATTTTTTTTTTCCATCCGTAGCCTCAGACTTCCATTGGAAAGTCTATTCAAACCTAGAGAGGCATGCACACACATTTGTGAAGCAGCCCTACTATGCATTCCTTACTGTCAAGCACACCCACAGAGCCACACCTGAAAGACACTTGCCTTACAATTGAGGTTGTTCCATCAACAAACGTTTATTGAGCACCTCGTATACGATGAGGACTCAGGGGTCAACAAGGCAGAAAAGGTCTTGTATCTGGAACTTTCATCGTAGCAGGAAAAAAAAAAAAACAACAACACGTATTTTCAAAGTGGTCAAATAAATAATAGAGCCACATTCCTGGCTAAGGACATGGGGCTCGTGTGTGCGGAGACAGCCTTCTGAGAGGTTTGTCCGGAAAACAAGAAACGCCACCGTTACTGGAAGAAAACAGATGGTAAGGAAAGGCGTGGGGTTTTTGTGTGCGTTCGCTTCTGTTTGGTTTGGGTTGTCTTTTGGTGTTGGGGGCTACTTGAACATGTGCACGTCTGCTGGAAATGATTTTATACACAGGGATAGTCTGAGGATCCAGGAGAGAAGAACATTTTTAAATAGGCCAATAGGCCAAGGAAGGGAGGTAAGGTGGGTCTAGCTCACAAACAGAGAGGTGGTCCTCTTCCTCTACTGGAAGCAATGGAAACGGAGGCCGGTCAGATGCAGGGCACTGGGGCTCTGGGCGCGGCAGGGAGGTTCCATGGTGGTGGGGGGAGGGGTTGGTTTGCAGGAGGAAAAGATGGGATGTAACTGTCTCAAACAATGGAAAAGCGTGCTTACCAGGGAACTGCAGAAAAAGTGCTGGGCCGTGTGGAGTGACCGTTTGGGATCTATGACCTCTGATGTCAAGCCATGGTTCTCAGCCAGGGTGACTTTGTCACCTCACCCCAGCCCAGGGACACCTGGCAGTATCTGGAGACAGTTTTAGTTACCAGCACAGGGGAGGGGAGAATGTGAGCAGCATCTGGTGGGCAGAGGGCAGGGGTGCTGCTCAGCATCCCTCAATGTCCGCACGGGGCAGCCTCGCAACGAAGAACTATCCAGCTCAGCGTGTACAGGGACAGGACAGTGAGGTACAGACCCTCCCTGGGAAGCTACATAGGAGACGGTGACCCTCTCTACGGGCAGAAATGGGGCCACAGGACGGGGGGAGAGGAGGACTTCTTTTCATCCTATAGCTTTGTGTAACTTTTCCATTTTGCACGGCGCACATGTGTTGCCTACCCAAATCAATCAAAGGACAGAAACAAATTAGTGATGGGTAAATAATGGATGGGCTGACTTAAGTGGATGATTGATTGAAAACAGAAGGAAACCATACAGTCCGTTTGTGTGATTTTTCTCCAGCACATCCAGCTGCTAGGATGCCAGGGCAAAGAAAATGGGATTTTTGCAAGAGGAACACAGCGAAGGAAGCAGGCAGAGTATTGGGGGCTGAGGGTCTTTCTGAGGTAGCGATTGTAATGTCAGTTGATGGAGTCTAAGGTGGACAGAAGAGGAGTGAACATAAAGAAGGAGCTGATGGACATGTAAGAAAATAATGGGGTTCATTAATTAGCGACATCGGTATGGTCATTTCTCTATGATAAAATGTTGGAGCCATTAAGCAGGAGTAATAGGAGATGACGTTGTAAAAATAAGACATCCAAAACAAAATTCCAGAAGAGGAATGGTGATGTTTAGCCACCACAAAGTCAAGGGGAAGGCCACAGTAACGAGCGGCTGAAGACACAGGAACAGTCGCTGGGAGGGATCAAGGCGAGAAGGCGAGAACCCAGGCGTTTAGATGGATCTGTCAATGCAGTGGCTTCTCCTGGACAAGGAAGTGCCCCTCCCAGAGTGGCTTATAAGTAATGGTCTATGCCATTTTTTGGCCTGCACCGTGATTGCATGGTTAATAAATGGAGGAAAGAAGATCCAAATTCAGGCTTCTTAGCCCAAAGGCTGTGCCCTCTCCCCATGCTATGGCCCCGCCCCCAGGAGAAGGTGAGGGGCCGTCCGTCTCCGGAAGGTTGGGTGAGCTTAGCGCTGGCCATGACGTTGGCAATGGAAACTTCAGCTGACGGGAGACGGAGAGGGAAGAGAGGACAAGGGGGGATAAGATCCCAGCAAAGTCCTTCTTGCCCCAGTAAGTTCTCCTGAAAGTGGCCTCAAGTCGTAACGAATAAAGAAGCCATGGAAGAAAGACATAAAAGGAAGAAAACCAAAATCTTCGTGATTTCCCACAAGTACATCCATAATGTTTATCTATATTCTAAAATATATTTTTATTATATGTATTCTTTTCATTAAAAATGTACAAAATGTATGTCTATAAATATTGATTATAATATAGAAAAATAGCGTCACTACTGGCAAACATCAGAGGATTCTTGGAGTTGGTTGCCAAGAAGCATTCAAAACCTAGACCAAATGCACCCCACATTCTCCTAACGCATCCTTCACAATACTCATGTTCTCTCTGTTAGGTAACCCTTCCAATCCCACACACACCTACGATTGCTCAGGAAATATACATGCTGTGTAGGGAAGGGACCGAGACCCCCAGAGGCCTCCCTAGCTTCTCTGTTCGCATCACCTGGTGGCCCAGGCTAGGGCTTTGGAAGTAAAGATACTGCCGCTGGGAAACTGGCTCTTCAGTGTCTTGAGCTCCTCGTGCAAGCCTCGTCCCCTTTGCCCATCCCTGACACGCTCATCTCACACCACACGCCGGAAAGACAGTCTCCCCTGAGGTAGATAGCGCACCCACCCCAAGAGGTGAGTTCAAAGGTGTCCTTTGCAATGTGCACAAACACTCTTGGCCACAGCAGCTGAGTGCAGGGCACGCTGGTAGCTGCCCTTCCCTCTTCTGCATCTTGACGGGCAGCCCCGAGAGTTCTGTTCATCCATTATCTCCCTCCTCCTGTCTGGCTCATGGCCCTGCTGCACCCTGTGGTCTCAGGGTGCTCTCGCTTTATGTCTTCTCACTTGACCTCAAGTGGGCTTAAGAAGACCCTCCTTCAAGGCAACACTCTCAGTGCCTGTAACAAGGAACTATAATGGAGAGAATCTCAAAGTGCTTTTCTTAGAGCTTGTACAAGCCAAAGAACGTCTTAGCTTCCTCAAAACTGACCAGAGAGAGCTCAGACACATTAACGTATAGGTGGTCGGCACTGGTGAGGTTGAACACCGCGCCCAGGTAGCTGCTGCGGGCCCACATCTGGCCGGCGGTGCAGTAGTCCATCATCTTCTCCTCCATCAGCACCAGGTCCTGCGGGTACTTCAAGTTCCTCATATAGACCTTGTGGTTCAGGGGCTGGTTCTTGCAGGACTGACCCCGGAAGTACACTTTGGAATACACATAGTACAGCCCAGTGTCGTTGATCACAAGGCTGCCCTTCTTGTACTTCACCCCAGAGACCAGGGCGATTCCGTAGGTGTCTTCCCACTCCAGAGGCATGGATCTCGAGCTGGGTTTGCCTGCAACCAAACCAAAGGGGAGCTCTTAGCCAGGACCACGCATGCACCCAACAAACTAAGCTTCCAAGGCAAAACTGCAGGCCTTCTCTCCCTTGAGCAAAAGCTTTTTGTTTTGTTTTGTTTTTCCCAAAGTGACAGAGCCCTTGTAGAACTGGTCGAGGGCTCAGAATCACCCATCACTAAATTCCTTCAGCACCTTTACCAAATGGCCTGCCTCGATTTTACCATCCACACTACTGGGAGACACAACAGGGCCATAGTATACACCCCTAATCAATTGCAATGAGAAATTGGTAAGATGAGTTTAGCTCCCTGGAACAAGGGTTCTGTGATCTTCAGAACTAGCACCCAATTGGTTAGGTGCTGGGGTCCTCCCACGAGGGGAGAAGCCAAATCCAAGGAAGCCTACAGTTCCCCAGTCGGGGCGGGGCCATCCGGTCCACACCTCATCCCAGCCCCGCATCCCTCACTTCTTTGGGTCCCCACAGCATTCTGCACACACCTTAAGCAGAGAACACTCCCCAATACTGAAGCGATGACTTGGGTACCTCTTTCCCATATGGCTATTAATTAGGCTCCTCGGAGGCAGGAACTGGGTATTACTTATCCCCATGACCCAGGCTTGGCACACACAGACGTGCTCTATAAATGTCTGTCAGTCCGAACCAGATCATTCCGCAGCCTCTGCTCAAATAACCCCAGGGACGGCGGCACACCGCTGCATGGGGTGCTTAGCCACTTCTCAGATGTGTGTGCATGTCCCACGGGGAGGGCCCCTACCACAACGCTATCGGTCACCTCACCCCACGGCACGGCCGCATGCTGAAAGGCCACCATGCCAGGCTGGCCTCCCCTCCCATGAACGCGCCCCTGGAGCACAGCAGCGGAAGCGGGCCCGCTGCTCTGCTCTCTGTGTCCTGCCCCTTCCGGATACAGACCTGTCAAATGGGCGGCTTTCCTCTGCTCCTTTTTTTCAGAGGACGGATTGGGGTATCCTGCATCATAAAGAGAAGAAAGGTAGAAGTAAACATAGGAACACTGACTATTCTTTTGGTGGACTTCTAAACAGGGCATTTAAATAAAAGAGGTTTTTTTTTTCCCTTAAAGCATAAATGGCAACAGTCTTAACATATACAAATCATGCAAGTCCAAACTGTGGACTCACAGTCCCTGTATTTCAGACAGAGAGGTAAAAAAAAACCAAAAACCAGATTCAGATAGACAGAGGCATACATTATAATGTTACAATAAAATGACATTCGTTAGTGATTGTATTGGTTAATAAAGAGCTGTCATATCAGCTGCTGCATTTAGGATGCGCTGCATTCAGGTGGAGGCTACTGTCCCGCCTCGAGGGTGCCTTGACTAAGAAGACCCCATACTCACAGTCAGAGCAGGACCCAGACTCGGGAGCTCTAACTCTTTCCGCTCTGGCTCTACTGTCCCTAGGACTCAGTGGGCCAGAGGCTGAGAAGGACAGCAAATCCACCTCCTGGCGGCTAGGTCTTCCCTTAGTGACATTCTCCAACCTGCCCCAAAATAGTTGTCCTCCGATTCGAACACCTTGCACGGTTTCATCGAACGCGGAGTTGTGTACATTTCCCCCCGCACATCCCCAGCTCCCTGGCTTCCTAGCCTCCGCTCATCCTTTCCTTCTGCCTGGAATGCTCTTCCAAACAGATCTCTGTGTCCAGTTCCTATCGACCCCATAGATACCCTCAAAAATACCTCTTTCTTTGGGATACCCTCCCAAGTCTTTTTAATCAAATACGATCTTTCCCTCTTTTGAAACCCAGAATCACTCTGTCTTCCCCTCCCTTGTCAATTTGGACTCCCTTTTTCTGCAAAAACTGTGGAACTTGCCTGTCTCAAATCAATGGTAAACTCTTTCCTGCAGATTCAACCCACCACAGTGTTTAGCTCAGTTTTTAACACAAAGCATGTGACCAGTCAGCGTTCGCTACATTAAACGGAAGGAGTTAAAATGGGCACTAGTTCTTAAAACAGACGCTACATCTCTGACTTCACATGTTGAACCAAATAGAGCTACCACTTAGCTAATGAAATGAGGTTCTTAGAAAGGTGTGTGAGAATGCCCCAGTCTGCTGGGGACGTCACCCGGGCCCGCGTGGCCTCAGGGGCCTGCATGGCCTCGGGACCCCCCCGCCGCCAGTCACCCCCCATGGATGCGGTGCTGGTGAACAGGAAAGGCAAAGTGGAGGCTCGCCTTCATTCCTCCGCCACGAGCCGACTGTGCGGCTCATCTGACCCTGGGCTAGGCTCTGGCAGGAAGCGGTGCACGTCTCCGTCCCGCAGAGAGCCTCCTGCGGCAGGGCTCTCCCAGAGGGCACGCAGTAAACGTGGCTGCTGGGTGAGGACTGGAATAAACTAGGAATATACCCTGCACTCTGGTGGTGACTGTCTCCTGCCCCAGGTATCTGCACGTGCCATTCCCAGGGCCAAAATGCTTTTCCCTGCCCCCCCACCCCACTACACACACACACACACACACACACACACACACACACACGCTCACAGTACCTCCTGGAGGGGACTTCCCAAGCCACTCTAGCTTAGGTGCACCCGGTACACTTCGCAGTCTTGTGATCTGTTTGCTGGCTTTAGTTCAGCGTCTCCAGCTTGCTTAACGCTCAGTGAGGGGAAGCCCCTTGTCTCTCCTGTTCTCAGGGGTGACCCCCAACCCAAGCCCCAGCCTGGCACATAGGAAGCACCCCAAGAACACTTGTGAATGAATAAAAGACTTAATGAGCTAACTGGAAAAGTGGGAAGTGAAAAAGAAGTACACAGGAACATTTATGTAGCGTCTCCCAGAGAAAATCACTGTTACCAAGTTAAGATATAAATCTTCTAGTGCTTTGCTAAGAACAGAAAGCTATCAAGATATGCATCTATGTATAGAGTCAATATTAAACTAACTTGTCTTTTTACGTAACACTGCAGAACACACAATCTCCACGGCATTAAGCATCCTTCTAATATATGGTTTTTAGTTGCTGCTTATTATGCTCCATCTGAATACATCATGGTGTATTTAACTAATCTCTTATGAAGAGGCATGTACGTTCCTTCTGAATTGCTTATTATAAATAGCCTTATACAGAAGTGATGAACATCCTTATATATACATTTTCAAGCACATCTCTGATTATTTTGTAAAGAGTAGGTCTTTGTGGTAAGATTACAAGGTAAATGAACAGTTTTAATCCCTCAATATATGTTTCCAAACTGCTCTTCAGAAAAGGTGTAGTAATTTACAGGCCCCCTGGCTGTTGACTGCTGTTTAAGCAGGCCCTTTTCTCTCACCTTTTTGCCAATCTGGGTTGGGTTTTCTTTTTTTTAATCTTTACTAATTTAATGGATGGAAATGAGTGTCCTTGAATTTTCATCTCTTATCTTATTAGTCAAGTTGCTGGCTTGATTTCCATGTGATAACTCACATCTTTCAAGTCCCTCTGGGTTGATCTAGCGAAGATAATTGCTTTGTGGGGTTGGTAGACCTGACTCATCTGTTCACTTGACTTTTCATCACTAAAACAACTCCAGATAGTGGGTGAAAGATGAGTAATTAGGTCCCTGGTTCGCCAGCCACATTCCACTGATTTTCAAATTTACTTTAGCCTAGAAATCTTCCCGAGGTTTTATTTTTCTAGCAAGTATTTCTACTCAGCTTGTGCACATCTGGACTTCCTGACACTTAGGGTCTGGGACCCAGAACTACGGGCCAGAGCATCCTAAGGTTGGCTCCTACATGCAAGGGCAGTAGGGTGACTTGCGTCCCCTGAGTCGGCACATCCTGAGAAACAGGCTCCCCTCACGGGGTGGCTGGCACTGCCTTCGGTTTTCTTCCCAGTTTCTAGGAAGACTTGCTTACTGCCTTCGCAGCAGCATCCTGCTTGCCATCTTTCTGGTGCATTCCGTATCCTCACAGAGAGAGAGGCGTTGCCTGAGGTCGCCAGGCATCAGTCCATACACCGGAAAGCCCTGCAGGGCCACATGGTCTGGGGCACCTCACCTAATCCACCCGCTGCTTTGTCCCTCTTCTGAAAAGTGAGATGACTGGACCAGATGCCGCCTGCGCTCCCTTCCGACTCACACCCAATCTCAAGTTCAATGAACCCAAGTTTAACAAGAGCCAGAGCATCCAAAATCTAGCTGTCCACAGTCTCCAGAACTATGTCCTGAAATGTCTCGAGGCCAGTGTTCAACATCGTCCTCTTCTTCCTGCCCTGGACCTCATGCAAAGGATTTTCCTTCATCCTTGAAGGTAGCTCTGTGGGGCCAGGTGCGCCACCTCTTGAGTAATAGCTGAAGTCTGCCCCCAAGCTTTCCAATGGCTGCCAAAGAGCCATCCTAACGTGGGTGGTTGATTTCCCACTTCTGAAAAGCTTAAACATAGCTGAGGAAATATGTTTTCAGTGAAGCTTACCTCTTGAGTAACCTCTTCAAGAATTGAAAGAGAAGAGCTTCCCTAGAAACAGCCCCTCACCCCCCATTCTTCCCAGGAGTTACAGCCACTGCCCTATGGATGGGACCCCGGAGGCCTGAGGAAGGGGACTGGCTGGGAGCCAGATGCTCAGGGGACAAGGGCCAGGGTTGTAGACGTGTGTGTCTCTCCCAAAGTCAAGTGGAAATTATTCTGAATTACGTGCGGTACTCAGATACATTGATTTTGCACAATTAAATTTACTTCATAGTCGAGGTACCAAAAGGACCAGAGATGCAAGATCAGCCAGGATTCCTATCGGAGTGAAATGTGCCCAAGAACAGATGGAGTTCAGGGCATCCCACCGATGTGGTCCAGCTCCGAGGACCATCTTGGGAAACTCAATGCGCACGTATAAAAGGACTCACCTATTTGCTTCTCCAAAGATGATTCTATATGCCTTTGGCTGGAAGACTGTCAATGAGAAAGAGAAAGTTGTATGATAAATATAAAGTTATCTAAGCAAAGGAGGCAGACTCGTCAAATAAACCAAGCCCTGGAAAGGAATCTCAATGCCTCACAAACTCGTCCCAATTCTGACTTTGGCTGAGCAGCTGAGTCTCCTTGCACCTCAGCTTTGTGATTTGGAATACTTCCCAATAGTTTTAAGTCTGCTCTAAGAATAAATTAGTCTGGCCATTGGCACACATTCACTTCTTGGCAAGACTCAAGGTCCTTCCTTTCTTGAGTCACGAAGGCCGTGGCTCACGAGGCTGACTTGCCAGCCGGCGGGGAGGAAGGTAGCTGCCAGTCCAACGCTGGCCCTGAGCCCTTCCCCGCTAGGAAATACCCCTTGAACTCATGTGAGCCGGCAGGTCTCTGTCCGTAGCACAGAATCACCAGAAGGATCCATGTCTAGGACAGGAATAATGGATTGAAAAGCCCTTTGCAAGCCAGGCCACGGTCCCTGGGGACCGGGCAGCCAGACACCCGTCACCATGCACAGCCACCTCGCGCCCAGCTCCCGGGACACGGCAGCCACAGGGCGGCTCACCTCTCTGAGTTCGGCCAGCTCCTTCTGCAGGTGGAACAGCTGAAACATCCCCAGCCCCACGGCGACCAGGGCCACCAGAATCATGAAAAACATCAGCAGGAGACACCGGCCTGGGTTATGGTCCCGCTTCTTCTTCAGAGGTGGCAGCGGCAGAGGGGGCAGCGGTGGCAAGGGCGGTGGCGGTGGGGGTAGTGTTGGCGGTGGCGGTGGCGGTGGCCTCCTTTGACCAGGTCTTCCAGGCACTGGGGAGGGACAGGGGAGGACGGTCCCTGGAGGGGCCCAGGGCGGGGCAGTCCCGCTGTCCACCCAGTAGATCTGGGGGTACGGGTAGTTCAGGGTCTGCTGCATGGCGGCCCCAGCCGTGGGGCTCCTTCTTCCCTACCCCGTGGAGCCCCAGGCGGCCCAGACAGGACTGACTGCTCGAGAGCAGGGAAGCCGGCTGCTTCTTTATAGAGTTTCCATGGCTGAGGGAAACACCTCACTTTCGTTCTCTCTTTCTGCTTCTCAGAGATAACGCCCACTCACTTTGCATCGGCGCAAACCCGGGGAAGTTTCCACCCACAATTTTCTGACGAAAGACTTTGAAGCCCCAGTCAGCGGCTGTCACGTGCCCCAAAGGGCTGGCAGGGAGGCCCAGCGCTCAGGCCCCGCAGAGCCGGCAGGGCAGGGTGGCTTCACCTTGTGGCTTCAGCCACTGCCCAGCTCTGGGGACAGTGGCCTTGGGGCACCCTCAGGCACTGAGGGAGAAGATCGTGGACTTGTGGCCGGAAGCATTACTTCCACATCTTTCTTCTTCGTTTTCTTCGTCTTCGTCTTCTTCTCCTTCTCCTTCTTCTTTTTTGCATGAAGGAGTCGTCCCTGCTGTCATCTCTCCCCACACAAAGTGCAAGGCACCCTGACCTTGCAAAGCCCCATGATTTTCAGCTTAAACACCGGCCCCACCCAGTCTCCACGCAGATGAGGTCGGAGGTTGCAAACTGGGGGCCTGTCGGCCTTGTGGAACGCACAGACCCATTTTCTTTGCACCTCACCGTGTTTTTTCTTTTCACTGGTTGTTCCTTATTAAAATTGGGATATTTCATTTTAAAATGTGTATCTCTCTCTTCTGTTTTTGAACATTAGACACTGGATGCACTTGAAGCGATCTCTGCAAACGCCGGCAGTAGGGCCTGGGCAGCAGCTGCCCCCACGGACGAGACAGGCGCTCCAGGCCGCCCGCCTGCACCGCCCCCTGCCCCCTTGTCCCCCCAGCCACGGCCAGTGCCGGCCCGGCCCCCAGAGGCACTTCCGTTTGCAGCCCCAGTTACAGTAGTCGGGGGACATGCAAGGCATCCAGTAACACTTGACTTTCGGGTCAACAATAAATAATTTGTAGGATAAGTAGGTCCCAAATATTACATGCAATACACTTAAAAAAGCTATGTGTTGTTTCTGTGAAGTTCAGAGTCAACTGATGTCCTATCGTTTGTTTTTTATTGAAGACGGCAGCCGGGCCTGGACCGGCCCCGGCCCCGCCCCCTCCTCTGGCCTCGGGTCCCACTTACATGGGCTCAGCTCTAGCCGCCACCATCCTCCCTGTAAACCATACGAGCCTCCCACAAACTCGCCTTTTCCATTTTTTTGGAGGGCTCCGCTTTTCTAACGCCGGTAGTTTCCGTATCGTGCTTTGGCATTTCCGCAACTATCCTTCGGCCGCTCCACCTGCACCAAGCCAGCGCCAAGCCTGTGTCCCCGCCACATTCTGCCCGCCCCGCGCCCTCCCCATACAACCTGCTTCATCTGAGGTTACTGCTTCTGGTGACAACTTCAGCCACCCCACCTCCTCTCCCCAGCATTCGACTCGTCAGCCAGGACTGTCTGTTCTCCCTGAGACAGGCTTCACACGTCGGACCTCCTCCACGCCCGTCCTCCGGCCGTTCTTGCCGTGGGTCGGACTTGGACCGCTTTGCACCTGGAACATTGCGATGGCTGCCTGGCTGGCCTGTCTGCCACCAGCTGTTCCCAAGCCCAAGTCTCCCTGGAAAACACTGCAAGAATGGTGTTTTCAAAAACAAATTTAGTTATCTGGCTTCCATGCCTAACCCTTCAGTTGGGTGGTTTGAATCCAGTTGTCCGGGTTCTTTCACGTGAGACACGAGGTTGTTCACAGTGACAGGCCAACCACTGGCTGTCACCCACTGCCTGCTCTTCTGACACTTCCGCCCACGTCCCACCCTCTTACTCAGGAAACAGGGACACGGCTGAGACCAGAAAGACGGCACTATGTCCTCACTATCCTTGAGAGCTGGGCGGAGTTTGTGTACTTTTGAATTCACTTATGGCTTTACTCACAGTTAAGAAAACTGGTAAGTTCAAAGTTACTAAGTCATAATCAGGAAATCTAATTTTAAGAACTCCACCAAAGGTACAACAACAAAAACAACAAGAATATTGAAAACACTTGAGAGAGTCCCAAGCACAGCGCGCAATGAACAAATGTAGACGGTGGTGGTTGTAACGGGGGGAACCTTCCCACGGCGTGTCATCGCCAGGCCATTGACCTCCTTCCAGGAAGGACAGAAACGGGGGGAGGGGGTCGCAGACCAGGGCGGGCACGAGTCAATGTCTGACGCCCAGTGTCCTCAGGCCCCATCAGGGGGCTGTCAGGCGGAGATGGGCCACGTCGTGTCAGGCGGAGACACCCACCCTGTGCTTCTCTGTCGCCAACGCCCACAGAAGCTTCCAGAATTCTTCACTAACAATTTTGCTGTATTTTCACCTCTCTGCCTGCCTTGCTTCTTCTTTTCATTCGTTCTGCGATTCACTTAGAATCCTAATACTGGCCCCCAACCCAGCAGGGCCCTCCAATCCCAGGCCGACTCTGAACTTCCACTCCGGGGCCACCCAACATCGTGGGACAGCCAAGGCGCTGGAACATAAACGCCCCTGCAACCAGTAACAGGACACGTCATAGTCTGGGGTGCTCTCAGAACCTTGTGAATTAGCAGAAACCGCCTTTTCAAAGTGGGTCTTAGCTCTGTGATTCCTGAAGGAAAGGAAGTATTTGCCTTTGGGAGAGGCCAGGATCAGAAAGCCAAAGAGCCAGCGGCTGGCAGCTCCCAAGGCGGGAAGAACCCTCCGACTGACTCTCCCCCGCACCCACCTGCCCGCTCCCCGCCGCTGCTTCTGGAACCCAGTTCCTTCAGGCGGGACAGGCGGGAAAGATCCAGAGCTGGCGACTTCTTCCAGGAGAAGGGGAATGGGGCCACCTGTCCTAGAAAGTTACCAGGATGCGGGAGAGCCTGGGGCACCAGGGAGGTCCTCGTCAGAGAACTTTCCTCCTGCAAAGTTGTTACAATTGTTTAAGTACCTACCTCACTGGATGACAAGTCAAACGGCCCCTCATTGCGGTCCATCCGGCAGCGCCATTCCCTTCCGAAACGGCCCTGCCCAGCAGTGGCGGGGAGCGGGGCACAGGGGAAACAGCCGCTGGGACCCGCAGAGGCGAGCGAAGGCCCGGGGCTCTCCTCGCTGGAGTCCGTTTATTCAAAAGCTTTTGCCCACAGTTTTAATCCCACCCAGCACCTCCAGGCGGCTGTCTGAGCAGCTGAATCTACCGACACCGACGCCAACGGTGCAAATGCCTTACCCCAGGACTTGCTCTCTGCTGGGCACTGCCCACCTCTCTAACCTTTTCCAAGCAGCCCGTTTAGGAAGTCGCATCTCGTCTACCCGTTTTCCTCGTTCTGGTTTCCTGGGAGGCTGGACACCCTGTCCTATAGCTTGTTGGACATTCGCGTTTCCACTTTTGCTTGTAGCTCCTGTTCATGTGCCAAGCCCGCGTTTAATAGGGTTTCTTTTGTGTTGATTTGCAGGATCTCATTGTACTTCATATGCCAGATATTAACCCATTGTGACGTTGAGCCATGTCAGCATCTTCTCCCGGACCGCCAACTTTCACATGCAGGCGCTGTCTCCGGGGTTCACCTTTGTGACGCAAGAGTCCGTCCCTGTCTTGCTCCGTGGATGACCCAGTGCTCCCAACACAAGCCACCTCCCCCCGGGAGTTACAGTGGTGTATGGGTCGCATATCAACTTTTTACATGGGGTCCTTTGCTAGGTTCTTCTGTTTCATTGATTTATTTCTGCATCCCAATACCGGGACCACAGTTGCCATAGTCAGGCTTTTGTGGAACGTCTCAAGAGCTGGCTAAGGCAACGGTCCCCCTCTTCTCTCTTCTTTCCCAAAACTGACTTAGCTACTTGAGTTGATTGAACTTCCCTCAAATGTTTCAGGAAAAATAAATATATATATATATTAGCATACACGTAAAATGTTCTAGGGCGCTGTTCATTGTAATTGCATTCATTTCAGGGGAGCGTAATCTTCACAATGTTTGGTTTTTTTTCCCTGACTACACTTTTTCACATCTTCTTCATGACCTTTAAAAGTTTTCCTCAAGATAGTCTCATACATTCTTTCTTAGATTAATTACTTGACACCTTGTAATTCTGCGGTGATTATGCAGGAAGTCCTGTTTTCGGTGGCGTTTTCAGCGTCTGAGAGAGGCAGCCTCCCAGGTGACTCCAGCGACCACCCCCACCCCCCACCCCCGCCTCCTGGGGTTCAAGCCCCGTTATAGTTCCCTCCCTGCGAGTCTGGCTGGACTCACTTCTCACAGATGCAACAGAAGTGATGGGATAGCACTTCTGAGATTAAGTTATAAAAAGGCCGCCGCTTCCAGAGTACAGAGGGCTGACTTCTCACACTGTCCTCACACGCTGGGAAGGGAGAGAGGTAGCAAGCTCTCGCGTGAGTCTTGTAGGGGCATGGACCCCGTTCACGAGGATTTCACCTGCGTGACTTCCTCTAATCCTGATTATTTCCCAAAGGCCCCACCTCCTAATACCATCGCATTGGGATATAAAGTTCTGATGTATGAATTTGAGAAGGACACAAACATTCAGGCCCTAAAAACCACTTAAGCCAAACCCAAGTTCCTGACTCACAGAAATTATAAGATAATAACTGTATGGTTTTTTTAAACCGCTGCATTTTGGGTTCGTTTGTACGGCAGTAACTGTAGATAACTGCCGCAGAAGGCTACTACAGGTTTAGAGAAATGCTCCTTATATTGTAATAAGCAACCTAGAATCTCGCAAACCTGTGGAAACTTTCTTTTTACTTTGCATAGTGTGTATGTGAATTTCTTTTTTTTTTTTTAAATATAGATATATATCATCAATGGGGAAAAATGAGAATTTTTTTCATCTTCCCTTCCAATCCTTATTCTTCCTTCCCTTTCTTTCCTTTTTGTATTGTCTCGAACCTCAAAAACTATACAGAGCAGTAACTGTCACTGTGGGCA